GGCGTATGTGCGTGCGTGCCCAAGATCCCAAGAGGAGAATGGAGGAGAAGGGATTGCAGCGTGGCCGTCCCCCCTGGGGGGTGATTTCTTGCTTTCTGTCTCTCTGTCTCTGTCTGTCTGGTGAGCTCATGCACCTTATAGCAAAAACCTCTTCAAAAATAAAAAAAAAAAAAAGAAAGAAGAGAAAGTTAAAAAAAAAGAAACTAAGATTTTGAACATAAAAATCTTATGAGAAAAAACTTTTTTCCCTAATGTTTTGTTGTATCTGCCACAGTAATAGCTACTTACTGCTTGTTTCTGCCTAACCCTGTCAGACAACTGGATCCAATCCAGTTCACTACTTAATCCATTCCCATCCTGGACCCAGTCCATTTTCTGTTGCAACTCCAAATCTAGTTTGGACCAAAATGTGCTCATATAAAACTCAGAGAGCTCTAAACATAAGTCTGTGGAGTCTGAATCTGAGAGAGAACCTACCCACAATCCCCAGTTTCCCTGAGAGCAATGGACAAAAAGGGTCCCACAGGTACCTCGCTTGGTCACCTGCTGCTCTTGGGGATCACTGGGAGCTCTACTTCAGACCCCGCTTCTGATGCCAAAACTGTTACAAGAAAAATAAACTAATTTAATAGAAGGGTTTTTTTTCTTTTTTTTTTGGAGAGGTTTTTGCTATAGGGCGTGTGTGCTCGCCAGACAGACAGAGAGAGACAGAGAGACAGAAAGCGAGAAATCACCCCCCAAGGGGGATGGCCACGCCGCAATCCCCTCTCCTCCATTCTCCTCCATTCTCCTCTTGGGATCTTGGGCACGCACGCACCTGTGCCCGGCATAAGTTTAAGCCACCGGGTCCGGGACTCGAACTGCGGTCAACTACGTGGGAGTCCAGCGACATAGCCATTATGTTAACTGCTGGTCCCAATAGAGTTTTAATTAAGCAAATCTTAGCACAATTTAAAGTGGGCAGTTGTCCCTGGACTTCTGGAAAACTCTGGCTAGCCTCATGGTCAACAGCTTTTAAGTACTGGAAAAGGAAAGTGATGTGTACAAGAACGGGAATATGACATACAAAAACAAGTGAAGGAAGGAGGTAGGGAAGCAATTCGGGTTGGTTACACTCTGAAGTTTGTCTGCATTAACACACTGTAGAAGGTGAGATGCCTGTGATTGACTGAAGCCTAGCTACTGTGATTGGCTGTAACCTAGCAACCAGCTCAGAAAAACAGCCTAACACATACAATTTGGCTTATCCATAGGAATCCAAGTGTGGGTATACAGTGGCCGTTTTAGACCACAATAGTTTAATTTAACACTTCCATGATGCTGGGTATCCCCTGGACTTCCATATAAATAATTCTAGAAGAACAGCCTCAGCACTGACTGATAAAATGGAAGCTGTAACAGCACAAGAAATCTGAAGGTGGAAACCCTCGCTCCATGAGCAATGCTAATCCTTGACTTAATGTCATTGCAACTAAAGTAAACATGGCTTTCGTCGCTATTGCTTTAGTCCAAAAAATGATTTGGCTGCAATGGGCCCTGAAAAAGACACATCTTAAAATTTAGTGAAGGTGCCAGCAGGTGGCGAGGTGGTTAAAGAGCTGAACTCCCATATAACTGACTGCAGTTCAAGTCCCGGACCTGGTAGCTTGAAGATCACACTGGGCACGTGTGCAGGTATGCCTGAAATCCCGAGAGGAGACCAGAGGAGAAGGGCTTGTGGTGTGGCCATCCCCCCTGATGGGTGATTTCTGTTTCCCTCTCGCTGTGCCTCTCTCTTCTCTGGCAAGTGCACACACCGTATGGGAAAAATAAAAAGGCAGTGAAAAGTTAAAAGCCAGGAGTTTGAAGTCAGGCTGCTGTGGGTTTGATTTCTAGAGCTGCCATTCACTTTTATGTGTTTCTTCCTCATATGAGAATAGGAATAACTCTAGGGACACTCTGAGAATTAAATTTGAAAATATATGAAAAGAACAGCGTTCCTGGCCTGGGATAAACAGTAGGTGTAACTGATCTTTGCCATTATTTCCATTTTCATTGTTGTGTAGAGACTTGACAAGTGGAAAAGAGATTTTAATAACTGACTAAAGTAAAGCGATAAAACAGAAAATCCCTACCCTTAGGGCAGATTCTTAAGAGACTTACACGGGAAGTTTAATGGCCTTCATATTTGTACGTAATGAACACTCTGGGGAAGAAAGGAACGGCAGCATCAAGCTCCTTCCTTCACAGCCCAGGTGAACTTGAACGGAACAGGAAGTGCAAAGGCAGCCAGCAGAGAATGCTAGAGAGAGGCAGAGAACCGGCTTGCCTTTGCCGAGCTGGATTCCATGCGACTAGCCACAATTCAAATCTAGGCCCTGTGGCTTGAAAAATTACTGGGCAGGGGTTGGCCTGTGGCACAGTGGTTAAGGTACTGGACTCCCACATGGCCAACCACGGTTCAAGTCTCGGACCTGGTGGCTTGCTTTCTCACTTTCCCTTTCTCTCTCTCTGTTTCTCTTTGGTCAAATAATAATAACAAATAAAATAAATACTTCTTTAAACCAAAAAAGAAAAAGAAAAACATGATGGATATGTGTGCGTGTCCCAAATCCCAACAGGATAGAGAAAAGGGGGAAAGGGATTGCAGCATGACCATGCCCTATTGGGGGTTCTTTCTCCCTCTTTGTCTCTGTCTCACTCTCTGTTCTCTCTCTCTCCTCTCTCTCTCTCTCTCCCTCTCTCTCTCTTTGGCAAGTGCACACTCACATCTAGCAATTTAAAGGGGAAAAGATTTTTTTAAATCACTTTCAATATTATAAGTAACTGGCAGCAGGTCTTTTAGCAGGGAGTACTGAGCAAAATACTCCACATCACAGCTGGAAGAGCTGCATTCCTTTGGAGCAGCTGCAGACACAGGGCTGAAACCGTCCTGACATTGAGTTCCCAAGTCCTCAGCTATGCAGAGTAGAACAACCAGGACCCGGGAAACAGGATCAGCTAAACTGGAATAGGACCAAAGAATAATGCAGGTCAGACCAGAAAAGTGACCATGGCAGAGTGCCACTCGCTCAGGACTTGACAGAACTTGGCCTCATTGCCTCTGAGCTTCAGTAAAAGTCTAATATGGGCAGCACGGTGGGCAGTTCTCAACAAAGCATTGTGGGAGACATCCAGTAATGCCCAGGGGAGGAAAGGGAGCAGAGCCAGAGGATTAAAGGGAAACAGGAAAAATAGAAACTCTCTAAAAATGTCCAGAGGACCACCTTCCAAGGAATAATGGCTCAAGCTAATGACTGAACAAATCATTCTTTTCTTCAGCCAGTATTTTCTTTCTATTTACCAGAGGGCACTCACCAGAAGGAGAAAGCACTCCCCACCCCCAATGGGACTTGGCCATGCCACAATCCCTTCTCGCCTGTTGGGATCTGAGGTATGCACTCATGCCCATCATGCTTTTCAAACCACCAGGGCCAGAATTCAAACCACACATCAGCCATATGGAATCTGGTTCCCTTAACTGCCAGGTGATGGAACTAGCCCAATCAATTTATTTGTTCAGCTTCTTTTATTTATTTCTTCCATGAGCATGTGCAAGAGAGACAGCATCCCAACAGGGTCTCGACACCATGTCCACCCAGCCTCAGCCAGCCCCAGATGACAAGCATGCACACGCCAGGTGTATCCAGGGAGGTCTTTGGATGCAAACCTTGCAGAGCATACTATTTCACTGTGCTACCTCCCAGCCCCTTGCCCAGTATTTATCCAGCACCCCTACGTGCCAAGTAAATGAGTGCAGGGGCTTGTACTGCTTTATGGAAGCCCGTTGTGTGCCTCTCTTCCCAACTCCACATTCAGTGATGTCATGTTGGTAGTTCCAAATCAGCGGCGGTAGGAATTTTTACACCACAGTAATTGGCAAATGCTGCATATCGGAGCTTGTTTTTTGTTTTTTTTTTTCCTTTCTTTTCCTTTAGAGAGTTGGTCTATCAAAATACTATACCAACATATACCTTAACCCTATGTTCTAGGAGGAGAAGAGGAACAAAGAATTGCTGATTGATGATGGATAAACAAGCAATTTTCAGGTGATGAAAAGGGTTATAAAAATAAAACGGGGTGACTTGATAAGCTGTGGGGTTTGAGAAGGCCTCCTTGAGGCGGTAACACCTGATCTGGCACATAAAGTTTCACGAGCAAAATCTTCCTAACAGACTGGGGTCATCCACAGAGAAAGAGCTCAGATCCACCTCGCATTCTCCTTTTTTCATGCCGGTGTAGTCTCCCATCCTGAAAACATGTCCCCCTGCCCCTGTCCCCTCCAACCTCTCCCCTGCTTGGCTCATGTTCAGGAGAGGCTGCTGCACATCATCTTCAGTTCCTCTTCTTTCTTGCTCCTACCACTCCAACACTGCTTTTTTCAAGGTCATAAGCAGGCCTTTACTGCCAAACCCAAAGTCATCTTTCACCCTTGATCTGATCAAAAGTCCTTGCTGCATCTGACAACCCCTCCTCTTACCTGCTCTTTGCACTTGGCTTCCAAGACTTCCCCCTCCTGGACTTCCTCTTACCTCTCCAGCTGCCTTTTTTCTGTATTCTTTGAATTATTTTCTTTATTCATGACGGATGACATGTGTTTGCATGAGAAAGAAAGAGAGGCACCCTCTTTAGGGTCTTGTCACGCACAATCCCCTCCCTCCAGTCCTCCACCCCATCAGATCTCGGGTCTCCCTGTGGGGTTCAGCTTTGCTCGTGCAGCATGGCGGCACTGCTGCGCCACAGAGCTGGCCCCACCAGCCACATTGTTTTTGTTTTTGTTTTTGTTTTTTGAGAGCTTTTTTCCTATAGGGCACGTGCGCTCGCCTGACAGACAGAGAGACAGAAAGTGAGAAATCACCTCCCGGGAGGATGGCCATGCCGCAATCCCTTCGCCTCCATTCTCCTCTAGGGATCTTGGGCACGCACGCACACATGCGCCCAGCGTGAGTTTAAGCCACCAGCTCCGGGACTCAAACCACGGTAGACTACGTGGGAGTCCAGCGACATAGCCATTACGCTAACTGCTGGTCCTGACCAGCCACTTTTTTGCCAGTCTCTTTTGCTGATTATTTCCCACTCCCTGACCTCTAAACAGTGCCCAGGATCAATTCTTGGACCTCTCTCCTTTCCTAATGACACCTGTTCCTTTGAGATCTCATCAAATCTCAGAGCTGTAGATACTGCCTTTGTGCTGATGGTTCTCAAATTTGTATCACCTGGCCAGACCTCTCATCTGGGCTTATTTGAATATCCACTACTTCCTTAATATCTCCACCTGGAGAAAGAGTGAGCCTTTAAAGTGTGATTTGTAACTTGTCACATTTTTGCTTAAAAATCCTCCAATGGCAAAATGCAGACACCTCACCAAAGACGATCTACAGATGGCAAAAAAGTATATGAAAAGACCCTCCAAATCATGTCATCAGGAAATCGTAAATTGAAACAAAAATGAGATATCACTAGGCTTTGTTAGAATGGCCAAAATCCAGAATGCTGATGATATCAGAAACTGACCAGCGTGTGGAGCCACAGGAACTCTCCTTCCTTGCTGGTGGGAGTGCGAAACAGTATGGCCACTAAGGAAGACACTCGCTGGTTTCTAAACATACTAAACGTACCTTTTCACTGAAAACTAAACAGACTCCTCTACTCAGAATTAAACATACTCTCACTGAAAACTAAACAGACTCCTCTACTCAGAATTAAGCATACTCTTACCGTACAATCCAGCAAGTGTGCTCCTTGGTATTTACACGAAAGGGTTAAAAATATGTCCACACAGAAACCTACACACAGACGTTCATAGCAGTGTTTCTGTGGTTGCCAAAACTTGGAAGCACTTACGATGTTCTTCAACAAGAGAATGGAACTGTGGTACGTTCAGACACTGGAGTATCTTCAGAACTGAAAATTTAACTATCAACTCACAAAGATATATGAGGGAAATTTAAATGCCTGTTACTAAGTGAAAGACGCTGATCTGAAAGGGCCGCATACTGTATGATCCAAGTCCATGGCATTCTGAAAAAAGGTCAAACAGTAAGAAGTGGGTGGTTGCCAGGGTCTAATGGGGGGGAGGGGTGCGTAGGCAGAGCGCAGGCTGTACAGGGTGTGGAATACTCTGAGACGCTCTAGTGGCGGATAGGTGCCATTACACATTAGCCAAGTCCATAGAACTGCAGCACCAAGGTAAGACCTAACGCAGGCTATGAACTCTGGCTGATACCGATGTGTCAGCGCAGGTTTGTCAGCTGTAACAAATGTACCCTTTGGTGGGAGACGATAATGGGGAGGCAGGGGAGTACCTCCATACCTTCTGTTCAATTGTGCTGTGAACCTAAAACTGCTCCAAAAAGTAAAGTCTACTAAAAAATGTTTTATTAAAACCCTCCAATGACTCTTATCCTATTCAGAATAAAATCCATTAAAATGACCTTCCACCCCCGTACTTCTGTGACCCACTCTGAATTCATTCTAAGACCTGCTTCCACTGTAAGAGCTTTGCAGGGGAGTAGG